ACCCACCCACCCACCCACTCACCCACTCACTCACTAACTCACCCACCCACCCACTAACTCACCCACCCACTAACTCACCCACCCACCCACCTTTGTCTCTCCACAGTATCAGTGCTGTGGAGTGAATGGCCCCCAGGACTGGCAGGCCTACGGCTCGGCCTTCCGAGAGGCTCACTCACTCACCCACTCACTCACTCACTAACTCATCAACTAACTCACTCACCCACTCACTCACTAACTCACCCACTCACTCACCCACTCACTAACTCACCCACCCACCCACTAACTCACTCACTCACTAACTCACCCACTCACCCACCCACCCACTCACTAACTCACCCACTCACTCACTCACTAACTCACCCACTAACTCACCCACTCACTCACCCACTCACTCACTAACTCACCCACTCACTCACTCACTAACTCACCCACTCACCCACTCACTCACTCACTAACTCACCCACTCACTCACTCACTAACTCACCCACTAACTCACCCACTCACTCACCCACTCACTCACTAACTCACCCACTCACTCACCCACTCACTCACCCACTCACCCACTCACTCACTCACCCACTCACCCACTCACCCACTCACCCACTCACTCACTCACCCACTCACTCACCCACTCACTCACCCACTCACTCACCCACTCACCCACTAACTCACCCACTCACCCACTAACTCACCCACTAACTCACTCACTCACTCACCCACTCACTCACCCACTCACTCACCCACTCACTCACTCACTCACCCACTAACTCACCCACTCACTAACTCACCCACTAACCCACTCACTCACTCACTCACCCACCCACTCACTCACCCACCCACTAACTCACCCACTCACTAACTCACTCAGTCACCCACCCACTCACCCACCCACTCACTCACTCACCCACTCACCCACCCACTCACCCACCCACCCACCCACTCACCCACCCACCTTTGTCTCTCCACAGTATCAGTGCTGTGGAGTGAATGGCCCCCAGGACTGGCAGGCCTACGGCTCGGCCTTCCGAGAGGCCCACTCACTAACTCACTCACCCACTCACTCACTAACTCATCAACTAACTCACTCACCCACTCACTCACTAACTCACCCACTCACTCACCCACTCACTAACTCACCCACCCACCCACTAACTCACTCACTCACTAACTCACCCACTCACCCACCCACCCACTCACTAACTCACCCACTCACTCACTCACTAACTCACCCACTAACTCACCCACTCACTCACCCACTCACTCACTAACTCACCCACCCACTCACTCACTAACTCACCCACTCACCCACCCACCCACTCACTAACTCACCCACTCACTCACTCACTAACTCACCCACTAACTCACCCACTCACTCACCCACTCACTCACTAACTCACCCACTCACTCACCCACTCACTCACCCACTCACCCACTCACTCACTCACCCACTCACCCACTCACCCACTCACCCACTCACTCACTCACCCACTCACTCACGCACACACTCACCCACTCACTCACCCACTCACCCACTAACTCACCCACTCACCCACTAACTCACCCACTAACTCACTCACTCACTCACCCACTCACTCACCCACTCACTCACCCACTCACTCACTCACCCACCCACTAACTCACCCACTCACTAACTCACCCACTAACCCACTCACTCACTCACTCACCCACCCACTCACTCACCCACCCACTAACTCACCCACTCACTAACTCACTCAGTCACCCACCCACTCACCCACCCACTCACTCACTCACCCACTCACCCACCCACTCACCCACCCACCCACCCACTCACCCACCCACCTTTGTCTCTCCACAGTATCAGTGCTGTGGAGTGAATGGCCCCCAGGACTGGCAGGCCTACGGCTCGGCCTTCCGAGAGGCCCACTCACTCACCCACTCACTCACTCACTAACTCATCAACTAACTCACTCACCCACTCACTCACTAACTCACCCACTCACTCACCCACTCACTAACTCACCCACCCACCCACTAACTCACTCACTCACTAACTCACCCACTCACCCACCCACCCACTCACTAACTCACCCACTCACTCACTCACTAACTCACCCACTAACTCACCCACTCACTCACCCACTCACTCACTAACTCACCCACTCACTCACTCACTAACTCACCCACTCACCCACCCACCCACTCACTAACTCACCCACTCACTCACTCACTAACTCACCCACTAACTCACCCACTCACTCACCCACTCACTCACTAACTCACCCACTCACTCACCCACTCACTCACCCACTCACTCACTCACTCACTCACCCACTCACCCACTCACCCACTCACCCACTCACTCACTCACCCACTCACTCACCCACTCACTCACCCACTCACTCACCCACTCACCCACTAACTCACCCACTCACCCACTAACTCACCCACTAACTCACTCACTCACTCACCCACTCACTCACCCACTCACTCACCCACTCACTCACTCACCCACCCACTAACTCACCCACTCACTAACTCACCCACTAACCCACTCACTCACTCACTCACCCACCCACTCACTCACCCACCCACTAACTCACCCACTCACTAACTCACTCAGTCACCCACCCACTCACCCACCCACTCACTCACTCACCCACTCACCCACCCACTCACCCACCCACCCACCCACTCACCCACCCACCTTTGTCTCTCCACAGTATCAGTGCTGTGGAGTGAATGGCCCCCAGGACTGGCAGGCCTACGGCTCGGCCTTCCGAGAGGCCCACTCACTCACTAACTAACTCACCCACCCACCCACCCACTCACTCACTCACCCACCCACCCACTCACTCACTAACTCACCCACTCACTCACTAACTAACTCACCCACCCACTAACTCACCCACCCACTCACTCACTCACTAACTCACCCACTCACTCACCCACTCACTCACCAACTCACCCACTCACTCACTCACCCACTCACTCATTCATTCACTCACCCACTCACTCACCCACTCACTCACCAACTCACCCACTCACTCACTCACCCACCCACTAACTCACTCACTCACTCACCCACTCACTCACCCACTCACCCACTAACTCACTCACTCACTCACCCACTCACCCACCCACCCACCCACTCACCCACTCACTCACCCACTCACTCACTCACTCACCCACTCACTCACCCACCCACTCACTCACTAACTCACCCACTCACTCACTCACCCACTCACCCCCCCACCCACTCACTCACTCACCCACCCACCCCCCCACTCACCCACCCACCCACCCACTAACTCACCCACCCACCCACCTTTGTCTCTCCACAGTATCAGTGCTGTGGAGTGAATGGCCCCCAGGACTGGCAGGCCTACGGCTCGGCCTTCCGAGAGGCCCACCCACTCACTCACTAACTCACCCACCCACTAACTCACTCACTCACTCACTAACTCACCCACTAACTCATCAACTAACTCACTCACCCACTAACTCACCCACTCACCCACTCACTCACCCACTCACTCACTCACCCACTCACCCCCCCACCCACTCACTCACTCACCCACCCACCCCCCCACCCACTAACTCACCCACCCACTAACTCACCCACCCACTAACTCACCCACCCACCCACCTTTGTCTCTCCACAGTATCAGTGCTGTGGAGTGAATGGCCCCCAGGACTGGCAGGCCTACGGCTCGGCCTTCCGAGAGGCTCACTCACTCACCCACTAACTCACTCACCCACTCACTAACTCACTCACTCACTAACTCACTCACCCACCCACTCACTCACCCACTAACTCACTCACCCACTCACTCACTCACCCACTAACTCACCCACTCACTCACCCACTCACTCACTAACTCACCCACCCACTCACTAACTCACTCACTCACCTACTCACCCACTCATCCACTCACTCACCCACCCACTCACCCACTCACTCACTCACTCACCCACTCACTCACTAACTCACCCACCCACTCACTAACTAACTCACCCACTAACCCACTCACTCACTAACTCACTCACTCACTAACTCACTCACCCACCCACTCACTCACCCACTAACTCACTCACCCACTCACTCACTCACCCACTAACTCACCCACTCACTCACCCACTCACTCACTAACTCACCCACCCACTCACTAACTCACTCACTCACCTACTCACCCACTCATCCACTCACTCACCCACCCACTCACCCACTCACTCACTCACTCACCCACTCACTCACTAACTCACCCACCCACTCACTAACTAACTCACCCACTAACCCACTCACTCACTCACTCACCCACCCACTCACTCACTCACTCACTAACTCACTCACTCACTCACTAACTCACTCACTCACTCACTAACTCACCCACTCACTCACCCACCCACCCACTCACTCACTCACCCACCCACTCACTCACTCACTCACCCACTCACTCACCCACCCACTCACTCACCCACTCACTCACCCACTCACTCACTGACCCTCTCACTCATTCACCCACTCACTCACTCACTCACCCACTCACTCACTCACCCACTCACTCACCCACTCACTCACTCACCCACTCACTCACTCACCCACTAACTCACCCACTAACTCACCCACTCACCCACCCACTCACTCACCCACCCACTCACTCACTCACTCACCCACTCACTCACTCACCCACTCACTCACTCACTCACCCACCCACTCACCCACCCACTCACCCACTCACTCACTCACTCACCCACCCACTCACCCACTCACCCACTCACTCACTTACCCACCCACCCACCCACTCACCCACTCACTCACCCACTCACTCACCCACCCACCCACTCACCCACCCACTCACCCACCCACTCACCCACTCACTCACTCACTCACCCACCCACTCACCCACTCACCCACTCACTCACCCACCCACCCACCCCCCCACTCACCCACCCACCCACTCACTCACCCACCCACCCACCCCCCCACTCACCCACCCACCTTTGTCTCTCCACAGTATCAGTGCTGTGGAGTGAATGGCCCCCAGGACTGGCAGGCCTACGGCTCGGCCTTCCGAGAGGCCCACCCCGAGGGAGATTTCCCCTGGCCCTTGCAGTGTTGCAGCCTGGACCCGGCCAGCGGCCTCATCAGGGACCTCGATGCCTGTCGGCTGGGCCTGGCTGGGTACTTGAACACCCCGGTGGGTGGGTGTGGTGTGGTGGGTGGGTGGTGGGGGGAGAGTGGGGGGGTGGGTGGGTGGGTGGGTGAGTGGGTGGGTGAGTGGGTGGGTGAGTGGGTGGGTGAGTGGGTGGGTGAGTGGGTGGGTGAGTGAGTGAGTGAATGGGTGGGTGAGTGGGTGGGTGGGTGAGTGAATGGGTGGGTGAGTGGGTGGGTGAGTGGGTGGGTGAGTGGGTGGGTGAGTGGGTGGGTGGGTGAGTGGGTGGGTGAGTGGGTGGGTGAGTGGGTGGGTGAGTGGGTGAGTGGGTGGGTGGGTGGGTGAGTGAGTGAATGGGTGGGTGAGTGGGTGGGTGAGTGGGTGGGTGGGTGGGTGGGTGGGTGAGTGAGTGAATGGGTGGGTGAGTGGGTGGGTGAGTGGGTGGGTGAGTGGGTGGGTGAGTGGGTGGGTGAGTGGGTGGGTGAGTGGGTGGGTGAGTAGGTGGGTGGGTGGGTGAGTGAGTGAGTGAGTGGGTGGGTGAGTGAGTGGGTGGGTGGGTGAGTGAGTGGGTGGGTGAGGGGGTGAGTGAGTGGGTGGGTGAGTGGGGGGAGAGTGCGGGGGGGAGTGGGTGGGTGGGTGGGTGAATGAGTGCATGGGTGAGTGGATGGGTGAGTGGATGGGTGAGTGGATGGGTGAGTGGATGGGTGAGTGGATGGGTGAGTGGATGGGTGAGTGGATGGGTGAGTGGATGGGTGAGTGGATGGGTGAGTGGATGGGTGAGTGGATGGGTGAGTGGATGGGTGAGTGGATGGGTGAGTGGATGGGTGAGTGGATGGGTGAGTGGATGGGTGAGTGGATGGGTGAGTGGATGGGTGAGTATGTGAGTGAGTGGGTGAATGGGTGGGTGAATGGGTGGGTGAGTGTGTGGGTGGGTGAGTGGAGAGACAGTGGGTGAGTGGGTGGGTGAGTGGGTGGGTGAGTGGGTGGGTGAGTGGGTGGGTGAGTGAGTGGGTGGGGGGGTGAGTGAGTGGGTGGGGGGGTGGGTGGGTGGGTGAGTGAGTTAGTGGGTGGGTGGGTGAGTAGGTGAGTGGGTGGGTGGGTGAGTAGGTGAGTGAGTGGGTGGGTGGGTGGGTGAGTAGGTGAGTGGGTGGGTGGGTGAGTAGGTGAGTGAGTGGGTGGGTGAGGGGGTGAGTGAGTAGGTGAGTGAGTGGGTGGGTGGGTGGGTGAGTGAGTGAGTGAGTTAGTAGGTGGGTGGGTGAGTAGGTGAGTGAGTGGGTGGGTGGGTGGGTGAGTGAGTGAGTTAGTAGGTTAGTGGGTGAGTGAGTGGGTGGGTGAGTGAGTGAGTGAGTGAATGGGTGGGTGGGTGAGTAGGTGAGTGAGTGGGTGGGTGAGTGAGTGGGTGAGTGAGTGGGTGGGTGAATAGGTGAGTGAGTGGGTGGGTGAATAGGTGAGTGAGTGGGTGGGTGAGTAGGTGGGTGAGTGGGTGAGTGAGTGAGTGGGTGGGTGGGTGAGTGAGTGGGTGGGTGAGGGGGTGAGTGAGTGGGTGGGTGAATAGGTGAGTGAGTGGGTGGGTGAATAGGTGAGTGAGTGGGTGGGTGAGTAGGTGGGTGAGTGGGTGAGTGAGTGGGTGGGTGGGTGAGTGAGTGGGTGGGTGGGTGAGTGGGTGAGTGGGTGGGTGGGTGGGTGAATAGGTGAGTGAGTGGGTGGGTGAGTAGGTGGGTGAGTGGGTGAGTGGTTGAGTGAGTGGGTGAGTGAGTGGGTGGGTGGGTGAGTGGGTGAGTGGGTGGGTGGGTGGGTGAGTGAGTGGGTGGGTGGGTGAGTGAGTGGGTGGGTGGGTGAGTAGGTGAGTAGGTGAGTGGGTGGGTGAGTGAGTGAGTGAGTGTGTGGGTGGGTTGTTGTTGTTGATGGTTGTTGTTGATGATGTTGTTGTTGATGGTTGTTGTTGTGGTTGTTGTTGATGTTGATGTTGTTGTTAATGTTGTTGTTGATGTTGTTGTTGTTGTTGATGGTTGTTGTTGTTGTTGTTGTTGATGTTGTTGTTGTTGATGTTGTTGTTGTGCAGGGTTGCTATGACTACGTGAGTGGGCCTCTCCACCGCGCCGCTTGGGGTGTCGCCTGGTTCGGGTTCGCCATCCTCTGCTGGGAGTTCTGGGTCCTGCTGGGCACCATGTACCTCTATAACATCTCCTAGTCACTCCTAGTCACCACTAGTCACTCCTAGTCACTCAGTCAGTCACTCAGTCACTCAGTGAGTCAGTCAGTCAATCACTCAGTCAGTCAGTCAGACACTCACTCAGTCAATCACTCATACACTCAGAGACTCACTCAGACTCTGCTGGGAGTTCTGGGTCCTGCTGGGCACCATGTACCTCTATAACATCTCCTAGTCACTCCTAGTCACTCCTAGTCACCACTAGTCACTCCTAGTCACTCCTAGTCACTCACTCAGACAGTCAGTCACTCACTCACTCACTCAGTCACTCACTCAGACACTCACTCAGTCAATCACTCAGTCAATCACTCATACACTCAGAGACTCACTCAGACTCTGCTGGGAGTTCTGGGTCCTGCTGGGCACCATGTACCTCTACAACATCTCCTAGTCACTCCTAGTCACTCCTAGTCACTCCTAGTCACTCACTCAGTCACTCACTCACTCAGTCACTCACTCATACACTCACTCACCCACTCACTCAGTCACTCAGACACTCACTCAGACACTCAGTCAATCATTCAGTCACTCAGACACTCACTCAGACACTCAGACTCTGCTGGGAGTTCTGGGTCCTGCTGGGCACCATGTACCTTTATAATATCTCCTAGTCACTCCTAGTCACTCCTAGTCACTCACTCAGACACTCAGTGAGTCACTCACTCACTCAGTCACTCACTCAGTCACTCACTCACCCACTCACTCAGTCAATCACTCACTCACTCAGACACTCACTCAGTCACTCAGTCACTCAGTCACTCACTCAGACACTCAGTCAATCACTCAGTCAATCATTCAGTCACTCAGTCACTAGTCACTCAGACACTCAGACTCTGCTGGGAGTTCTGGGTCCTGCTGGGCACCATGTACCTCTACAACATCTCCTAGTCACTCCTAGTCACTCCTAGTCACTCCTAGTCACTCCTAGTCACTACTAGTCACTCACTAGTCACTCCTAGTCACTCAGACACTCACTCAGTCACTCAGACTCTGCTGGGAGTTCTGGGTCCTGCTGGGCACCATGTACCTTTATAATATCTCCTAGTCACTCCTAGTCACTCCTAGTCACTCACTAGTCACTCAGTCAGTCACTCAGTCACTCAGTGAGTCAGTCAGTCACTCATACACTCACTCACCCACTCACTCAGTCACTCAGTCAGTCACTCAGACTCTGCTGGGAGTTCTGGGTCCTGCTGGGCACCATGTACCTCTACAACATCTCCTAGTCACTCCTAGTCACTCCTAGTCACCACTAGTCACTCCTAGTCACTCCTAGTCACTCCTAGTCACTCAGTCACTCACTCAGACACTCAGTGAGTCACTCATACACTCAGTCAATCACTCAGTCAATCACTCAGACATTCACTCACTCACTCATACACTCAGACTCTGCTGGGAGTTCTGTGTCCTGCTGGGCACCATGTACCTCTACAACATCTCCTAGTCACTCCTAGTCACTCCTAGTCACTCAGTGAGTCACTCATACACTCAGTCACCCACTCACTCAGTCACTCACTCAGTCACTCACTCAGTCACTCACTCACCCACTCACTCAGTCACTCACTCACCCACTCACTCAGTCACTCAGTCAGTCACTCAGACACTGCTGGGAGTTCTGGGTCCTGCTGGGCACCATGTACCTCTACAACATCTCCTAATCACTCCTAGGCACTCCTAGTCACTCAGTCAGTCACTCAGTCACTCAGTCAGTCACTCAGTCACTCATACACTCACTCACCCACTCACTCAGTCACTCAGAGACTGATGGGAGTTCTGGGTCCTGCTGGGCACCATGTACCTTTATAATATCTCCTAGTCACTCCTAGTCACTCCTAGTCACTCCTAGTCACTCACTCAGTCAATCACTCATACACTCAGAGACTCACTCAGGCTCTGCTGGGAGTTCTGGGTCCTGCTGGGCACCATGTACCTCTATAACATCTCCTAGTCACTCCTAGTCACTCCTAGTCACTCCTAGTCACTCCTAGTCACACACTCAGTCACTCCTAGTCACTCCTAGTCACTCCTAGTCACTCACTGAGTCACTCAGTCACTCCCTAGTCACCCCCTAGTCACCCCCTAGTCATGCCTAGTCACTCCTAGTCACTCCTAGTCGCTCAGTCACTCCTAGTCACTCCTAGTCACTCACTCAGTCACTCAGTCAGACACTCAGTCACTTCTCACTCACTCAGTCACTCACTCAGTCACTCACTCAGTCACTCACTCAGTCACTCACTCACTCACTCAGTCACTCAGTCATTCAATCATTCAATCACTCAATAACTCAGTCACTAGTCACTCAGTCAGTCACTCAGTCGGTCACTCAGTCACTCACTCGCACATACATTTGTATACAAAGGGATACTGTACAGTAGTTGTGTGGTAGTTGTGGTGGTGGTAGTTCTGGTGGTGGTAGTTGTGGTGGTGGTAGTTGTGGTGGTAGCTGTGGTGGTGGTAGTAGTGGATAAAAAATCCTTTTATAATCACAAAATCATTCCAATGTCGATTGCATTCCAATCGCACACCCCCATCGAAACCACAATTGCAATCCCAAATCTCCATCGCAATCCCCATCGCAATCACATCTCAATAATTACAATAATAACAACTATATAATTAGTATATTTGGTGTACTAGTTGTTGTTACTACGCTGTTGGCTGTGTTACTTTTACTAAATAAAATCTGTGCCTCTGTGGGTCTCTGTGAGTCTCTGAGTCTCTGTGAGTCTCTATGTGTGTGAGTCTCTGAGTCTCTGAGTGTGAGTCTCTGTGAGTCTCTGTGGGTCTCTGTAAGTCTCTTTGAGTCTCTGTGAGTGTGGGTCTCTATGAGTCTGTGAGTGTGGGTCTCTATGAGTCTCTGAGGCTCTGTGAGTGTGGGTCTCTGTGAGTCTCTAAGTCTCTGTGAGTGTGGGTGTCTATGAGTCTCTGTGAGTCTCTATGAGTCTCTGTGAGTCTCTGTGAGTGTGAGTCTCTGTGAGTCTCTGAGTCTCTGTGAGTGTGGGTCTCTATGAGTCTATGTGAGCCTCCGAGTTTCTATGAGTCTCTGTGAGACTCTGTGAGTGTGGGTCTGTGTGGATCTCTGAGTCTCTGTGAGTCTCTGTTAGTGTGGGTCTCTGTGAGTCTCCGAGTCTCTGTGAGTCTCTGTTAGTGTGGGTCTCTGTGAGTCTCCGAGTCTCTGTGAGTCTCTGTTAGTGTGGGTCTCTATGAGTCTCTATGAGTCGATGTGAGTGTGGGTCTCTATGAGTCTCTGAGTCTGTGAGTGTGGGTGTCTATGAGTCTCTGAGTCTGTGAGTGTGGGTGTCTGTGAGTCTCTGAGTCTCTGTGAGTCTCTGAGTGTGGGTCTCTGAGTCTGTGAGTCTCTGAGTGTGGGTCTCTATGAGTCTCTGTGAGTCTCTGAGTATGGGTCTCTATGAGTCTCTGTGAGTCTGTGTGTGGGTCTGTGAGTCTCTGAGTCTCTGTGGGTATCTGTGAGTGTGGGTCTCTATGAGTGTCTATGAGTCTCTGAGTGTGAGTCTCAGTGAGTCTCTATGAGTCTCTGAGTCGCTGTGAGTGTGGGTCTCAGTGTGTCTCTACGAGTCTCTGAGTGTGGGTCTCAGTGAGTCTCTGTGAGTCTGAATGTGAGTCTCTATGAGTCTCTGTGAGTATCTCTGAGTCTCTGAGTCTCTGTGGGCATCTGTGAGTGTGGGTCTCTATGAATCTCTATGAGTCTCTGAGTGTGAGTCTCAGTGAGTCTCTGAGTCTCTGAGTCTCTGTGAGTGTGGGTCTCTATGAGTCTCTGTGAGTGTGGGTCTCAGTGAGTCTCTGTGAGTCTGAGTGTGAGTCTCTAAGTCTCTGAGTCTCTGTGAGTGTGGGTCTCTATGAGTCTCTGAGTCTCTGTGAGTGTGGGTCTCTATGAGTCTCTGTGAGCCTCTGAGTGTGGGTCTCTATGAGTCTCTATGAGTCTCTATGAGTGTGAGTCTCTATGAGTCTCTGAGTCTGAGTCTCTGTGAGTGTGGGTCTCTGAGTCTGTGAGTCTCTGTGAGTATGGGTCTCTGTGAGTCTCTGTGAGTGAGAGTCTCTATGAGTCTCTGAGTCTGAGTCTCGGTGAGTGTGGGTCTTTGTGAGTCTCTGTGAGTGTGAGTCTCAGTGAGTCTCTGAGTTTCTGTGAGTCTGAGTGTGGGTCTCTGTGAGTCTCTATGAGTCTCTGTGAGTCTGAGTCTGTGAGTGTGGGTCTCTATGAGTCTCTGTGAGTCTCTGAGTGTGGGTCTCTATGAGCCTCCGAGTCTCTGTGAGTCTCTGTTAGTGTGGGTCTCTATGAGTCTCTGAGTCTGTGAGTGTGGGTGTCTATGAGTCTCTGAGTCTTAGTCTCTGTGAGTGTGAGTCTCTGAGTCTCTATGAGTTTCTGTGAGTCTGTGAGTGTGGGTCTGTGAGTCTATATGAGTCTCTTTGGGTCTCTGTGAGTGTGGGTCTCAATGAGTCTCTATGAGTCTCTGTGAGTGTGGGTCTCTATGAGTCTGTGGGTATCTGTGAGTGTGGGTCTCTGAGTCTCTGTGAGTCTCTGTGAGTGTGGGTGTCTATGAGTCTCTGAGTCTGAGTCTCTGTGAGTGTGAGTCTCAATGAGTCTCTGTGAGTGTGGGTCTCTATAAGTCTGTGGGTATCTGTGAGTGTGGGTCTCTATGAGTCTTTGTGAGTCTCTGTGGGTCTCTGTGGGTCTCTGTGAGTGTGGGTCTCTATGAGTCTCTGAGTCTCTAAGTGTGATTCTCATTGAGTCACTGTGAGTCTCTGTAGGTCTCTGAGTGTGAGTCTCAGTGAGTCTCTATGCGTCTCTGAGTCTCTGTGAGTGTGGGTGTCTATGAGTCTCTGAGTCTTAGTCTCTGTGAGTGTGAGTCTCTGAGTCTCTATGAGTTTCTGTGAGTCTGTGAGTGTGGGTCTGTGAGTCTCTATGAGTCTCTTTGGGTCTCTGTGAGTGTGGGTCTCAATGAGTCTCTATGAGTCTCTGTGAGTGTGGGTCTCTATGAGTCTGTGGGTATCTGTGAGTGTGGGTCTCTGAGTCTCTGTGAGTCTCTGTGAGTGTGGGTGTCTATGAGTATCTGAGTCTGAGTCTCTGTGAGTGTGAGTCTCAATGAGTCTCTGTGAGTGTGGGTCTCTATGAGTCTTTGTGAGTCTCTGTGGGTCTCTGTGGGTCTCTGTGGGTGTGGGTCTCTATGAGTCTCTGAGTCTCTAAGTGTGATTCTCATTGAGTCACTGTGAGTCTCTGTAGGTCTCTGAGT